TACACTGGTACAGATAGGAAGTGGAAACACGGAATCCAGGACAGATGATCCCTTCAGGACCAGTGGTGAGAGTGGTGATACTGGGAGAGTGGGGTGGATAGGGGAAACCGATTACAAGGATCTACATATAACCTCTTCCCTGGGGAATGGACAACAGAAAATTGGGTGGAGACATCGGACGGTGTAAAATATAACAAAGTAATAATAATTTATAAATTACCAAGGGTTTCATGAGGGAGGGGGAGCGGAGACCGAGGGGGGGAAATGAGGAGCTGATACCAAGGGCTCAAACAGAAAGCAAATGATTTGGGAATGATAATGGCAACAAATGTACAAATGTGTTTGACACAATGTATGTATGTATGGATTGTGATAAGAGTTGTACGAGCCCCCAGTAAAATGATTTTTTTAAAACTGGAAATAAAGAACTGTATTACTCATAAATATCTAGAGCACACAGTAATAGGCCACGGTGTGTGTCAGGAAGTCATGGGACTAGCGAGAGCATGAACCTGGAGCACAGCCCTCGTTCAAGTGTAAGGGTAGAATGAGGAAACTTTCACAAGGTAAGCAGAAGCTAAATTAAAGAGCAGGAAATAAGGAAAAGTAGCTATGGAAGCTAAGTGGGGAAACTGAGAAGTGAAGAGTATGGGTGTTATCAATAGTGAGGTTATCTGGGGCAATTATGTGCAGTGGAGTGTAATGCATTCATTAGCAAAGTGAGGAAGGGCGTTCAACAGCGATACTGAGGCATCATCTAAAATGAAATCTATTTGCATTTCAGTGTGCAATATCTTATTTTAGGCAACAGAGTAAATCTGGTTCCTTTTACTTCATCTTGAAAAGTCTTATAGAATCTTTTGATTCTGTAAATAAGGGAAATTGAAAAATAAAAAGGTAAAAATCGATTCAACAGAAGTATATGTTAGCTGTAGGTCCTCCCTTGAAGCAATAATTAATATCTTTAAATAAGAAGAGTACAGGGGCAATTAATGATTCAATGTGGCTCTTCTAGTCCAAGTCTCTAACTTTCGCCAAACGAGCTTTCCTTGTCTGGGTATAATCTTGTTAACTTCCTTAATGAACTCTTCCATCATGAGTTAAAGAGTTCTGTGAATTGTGAGTTCTGTCTAGCCAGTGCAATGGATATTAGAACCTAGAGACACAATAGAAAACACTAATTAAGACAATACAACTGCATCAGAAGTGGGATTCAGTGCTATGGCTCCAGACTCTTAGAATCTTTTTTTTTTTTTTTTTTTAGAATGAGAACTAAAAAGGCATGGGTATTAAAATATTTGATTCCTAGAATGGCTTTTTTAGTTACTGTTACTTATAATGGATATATAGAATGATATGCTGCAGCTGAGAGAGGAACAGCTGCTGCTGGAGCAGCCTGGCTGATTAATAAGAGGCCAATACCTACTGGAACCATCCTGCCAGAGTCCCCAGTTCATAAGCACATAAATACAGTTAAGGGATGGGGCAGAAATTTGAGTATTATTTAAAAGGTTATGGTTATATTATAGGTTGATTTGGCTTCACCATTAATACTCAATATGTCTCCTACCTCGTATTGTATTATAGGACATTGAACATGATTACAAGAGCTGTAAATCCACTTTCAGACTATATTTAATTATATATGCTAAAAGAAAAGAATTGCCTGGGGGTAAAAAAGCTCCTAATTTGAAGCCAAAGTAGTTAAGAAGTTTAGAAAGAAAACCTGAGCCCCACCCAGAACTTCTGAGAGAACAGGATTTTAACATTTGAAGGGAAGACCTGCAGGTAAAAAGCCTATTTGAAAATAAAATTAACTTAAAAAATAAAGAGTCTATTTGGCTTTAGAAATTTTGGAGCAGTTTACCATTGGCTGCATCAAAAAAGGAAAGTTCTGTGCCTAACGGAAAAAGCGCCCTTCTCAAACTGAGAGTTAAACAGAGATAGTGGGTTTGGAGTAATCACCTATATCATCTGCTTACTGAGTGGAAATGGG